ATATATCAAAAAACTGTTAACAGGCTGACTACGGGAAGGACCTGACAAAAGGAGGCAGAAGTACTGTTGGCATTCCTCATGGGTAATGTAAATGTGTAACACAGCCATCCTGAGACCAGTTTCTCAAATTGCTCTGAAATCTCTTCCTCTAAATCCACTTTCAACTACTGTTCATTATGAAATGCAGTCCTTCCTTATGTCCCAGTTTGCTACTCTGGAAAGTAATAATAATGCTTATTGGCATTACATCAGAATAATCAGCAAAACAATGCTTACTGGCATTACATCAGAAAATCTCGCTAAAATAAACTCTGAAGAAATCTCAAATTACAACAATGTATATTTTTTTTGATCAGTCAGATCTCTTCTTTGGGTGATCTTGGTGGTGAAATAACAGGAGAGTATCCTCAGTGTTGGGATGTTGCTGGTGACATGAAGACTATACAACGACTGCTAAAAACGTTGTGATTCAGTTTTGAGGTTCATATATTAAGTATAAGCCAACGCTTTTGTAATCTCTGACCAAGTACATTTTTATGCACTCAGCAGGTCTGGGTATGTCCTGAGGATTCTGAAGACAATGACATCCTGTGTATAATCAGTATAATATATGCAGCATAAAACATTTTGGGCAATGATTTACAGAAATGGGCAATGAGAATTCTTTTCAGGTATTTGTTAATGAAGCAATCTTGTTTCAGAAACACCAGACAGTGAAAGAGCTCAGCCATTTTTGGATTTCAAGTAGAGTTCATAGCTTTAAAAAATCCAACATTTTGGGTTTTAGGCACTCCAGTTTAATCATTTCAGAATACTGTAGTCATAATTTGAGTTTAAACAATAAATGAAGACATTTTTGGCTCTACCTATATAAATTCAAATCTACGTAAACATAAACCATACTTCCAGAAACTGTTTTTGTAACTTCAAGACTTCAGCAGTATAAACTCTGTTGAGTATATCAATGATACAAAACAAATGTTGACTATTTTGAAGACTGCCACAACATTATAACAAGGGGGCCTAATTACTGATTATGTGGAACAGCTGTTTGTTTTCCTCTGTTTCATTGCCTATGTACATCCAGCCACTTCTGAGATCTAATATGTTTGTGAAAACTGAAATGCAGCCCTAGAAGACTGTACAAATAGTTCCAACTGAAGCCCAGTTGAAGATTCATTTCCAGCTCTTTGAATCTATATTTATATTGAAAGTCTTTTAATTCTTTTTTCTCTCAAAGTCAGGAAGCTTCAGAGAGATTCTGTGTCTTTTTGCAGAACAGTGGCTCCCAACCACCTAGACAGGTCTTGTGTTGGTCTAAGAACGTCACCATGAAGGGCTAATAAATAGAAGATACTTGTTTTAATAGTTTGTTTTCCAGCTTTGCTAAGCCTGTAGTAGCTTTGTGGGATGTATCAACGAAAGCTTTTAGGGAAAGGGAAATTGGAGGTGGGTGAGAAATGAATTCTAGTGATATGTGGAACACTGACAATTCTCTTAAGTGAGGAGCTTCTGCTACAAGATGATTGGGAATGATGGGTTTAGTCAAGGTATCAGAGATGTCTCATTAGACTCCAAGATACTAAACATGAGCATGAGCATGAAGCATTATAGAAAACAAGGTGATGTTCGTACACTTGAATGAACAGATCAATATGTGGCTGTAAAGTATCTCCAGTTCTGTAAGAACAGGTATCAGGAAATATTTAGCTGTACCTTTCTTGGCAGAGTAATTGCCTCTAGAATAGGAAACATTGGAGTTCTTGCTATGCTTACCTTACACAGGGAATCTACCTGAATATGTTTTCAAGCTAACAGAATCCTTTCATTTCCAGAACAAATGCCTCAATAAAATACTGCTTTTATGTCTAAGTCCTTTGAAAAATTGAGTTAAGTAGGAAAGGTGATGGCCTTCACCTCCAAAAAGCAAAGTATAGAGTTTACACAGCAATTACAAACCTATTATCTTCCTGTACGTATACATAAAACTAAATAAAAGATATAATTTATTGCCTATTGCTCTGTAATGCCTTTGTGAACTAAGTTTCTTAGATGTCATTATCTTTCCATTTAAAGCAAAGTGTAGAGACACAGAAGTTAGCGATACTAACGTAAGCCTGAATATCACGTAGGATGCTTTGTTTCAGCCCTGTAGCTCAAACCAAACAGTATGCCACTTTGAGTTCTGACCAACTCCTGACTTGTGTTAAAAGAGAAAGAAGAAAGATATTCTAAGCAGACTTTACCCTGAAATGTACCTACTAATCAGAGAGGCAGGCTGTCAGGAGAGAGAAATTCTACATCAGATCTTGAAAACTGCTGTGCGACTTCGAGAAAACTTCTTATTTTAAAAATCGTTAACTGGCACTACTAGTTAAATTACTTAAAATATTCTGATGATGTGTACTTTCCAAGCCATTATTGCCTAATACTTAGTTGACTACGATTGACAGTACATTAATACCATTGAATAAAACTATGGGTTATTTAAAAAAAATATAAAAAAGCAAGATAAGCAACTATTAAAACTGTTCCTCCTGGCTCTTTTGATATCTACTAGTCAACATGATCAGTAGATGTACTTGAGCTAGTGTAAAACGACTATATCTGACCATAAGATGGTGCTAGTGCTACTGCATTGGTAATAAAAATGGCACTGGTAAAGCAACAAACACCCACACAAACTGGCTACTGAGTAACAGTTTCTTTTTCTCATTACTTTTATGAAAGACATTTGTTGAGGTTCAGTAATAAGAACACGTCAGTTCTTGCACGGGTTTCCATAACTGCAGAACATCTTGTAGAAAGCGAGCTCAGAGTGGGAAAAGAAAGTGCAAGAACTGTGTGTTAGGCCTAGTAAATCTCATTCACACTTAAAATACCCAGACACCTTGCAAAAAGAAATACAGAGAGATCCAATTTAGAGAAGACTCATCCTGTTCTCTCATTCTAATGTACTGCAAAAATGGTTAGAGAAATTCATGAAACAGAAATAATTGCAATGGTAGACAGAGAGAATCTTCCTAGGCAAAAGTCATCTTCCTACGGCACACTCTAGTACTTCCAAGTAAAGTGATATGTTCTCCAATCCCTAATGGAAATTACAGATGCAGTTGAGCAGTCCTCGATTTTCCCCCTGTGTTACAATGGTGATCATTCATATTAGCCAGTACATTAATACCTGTGTATATAATACACACATATATATATACACACACAGCAAATGGGTATGTGCTGTATTTTTTCACCATCCTCCTAAATATTCCACTTGAGAACATGGCGTTATGGAGACCCTTGGAACTCTGCTCAGCTGTGAGAATTTTCAAAATTCACCAAAGACACTACTCTGAACTCAAGGCATCTTTCACCTAGGTTTCAAGTTTCTTTTCTGCAGTACAAACACAGTAATTTTTACCAAGTATTTGAACTCAGGAATAGTATATGCTTTCCTTAGAAATTAATTTCATTATTCTACACTTTGAAAGTTGCAGTTAAAAATCAGCAGGAGATAAAGAACTGATTTGCATTTAAATGTACTCGAATCTGGCAAAAACACAAACACTGCGAGACAAAGAGACCGTCAGTAACCATAATTATAGGGGTCACAAATAAGCTTTTTAATTAAGCTATCGTGCCTTTTTTTTTCCAGCAAAGCTGACTATTCAATTTTTCTCACAGGCATACACTTCTACTTCAAAGTGCTTTTTCAACACAGCTTTCCTTCCACCCCTCTCCGAGCTGAAAACTCTTTTGCCCCTCATTTTCTTAAATGTTTATCACTTCAGCTTTGTGAACTCCTACCTGCACAGGACGACCATCTTCTTCGCCGATCATGTTCCTCCAGTCCTGCAGGGACCGCTGGAGGCTGTCCAGCCCCGTCTCCCAAAGCCTTACACCACCTCCCAAGTCCACAGTAACCAAACCTACTTGTCCCAGTGGTGCCAACAGGGCATCAGCGTCCGATATCTGAGAGAGCCAAGATGTATATGGAGAGAGAGATTGCGAGCTGAAAAACAACCACAAGTAGTATCATGACTTTTCTCGAAGTTACCATTAGAAAGAGGGCATTTCTGTAGTTAAGGTGATGATTAAATGAAATTACATCCTCATTCCATGGGAGACTATAACTAAGCCCTGCAGACCCACTGTTTCATCTGAAACATTCCAGCTACTGAAACTGCATATGACCAACAGACACCTATTACTACAAAAAGCAGTATAAAAAACAGGCTGAAAGGTAATGTTTCTGCTATATCATAGAATCATAGAATTCTCAGGGTTGGAAGGGACCTTAAAGATCATCTAGTTCCAACCCCCCTGCCATGGGCAGGGACATCCCCCACTAGATCAGGCTGCTTAGAGCCCCATCCAGCCTGGCCTTAAAAACTTCCAGGGATGGGGCTTCCACCCCCTCTCTGGGCAACCTGTGCCAGTGTCTCACCACCGTCCAATCTGAACCGATCCATCTCTAGCTTCAATCCGTTGCCTCTAGTCCTATCACTATCTGACACCCTAAAAAGCTCCTCACCAGCTTGCTTGTAGGCCCCCTTGTATCTGAAAATAGTCTTTACAAAAAACTATAAAGAGTATGAAAATTTTCAAAATGTGTCACAAAAAAATATAAACCTACAGAAGATATAGGAGAGAACAAGATCTAGGCACTGAAGAAAATTCCTTTCCATCAGTTTAAAGTAACACCTTTCTCTACTGCTTTGACAAAATACAAAGATTTAAACACTCATTTAAAGATGGCACAGTTTTATGCACAGAGAGTCTTAGTACTGTTTTAAACAACCAACTTGCAGACAAAAATTTACTGCTGAAGCAGAGGGAAATTTCGACAAAGGGAAATTTAGACAAAGTAGCAAAGATTCTTTGCATTTTTTTAGTACTGCTAACGACATGCATAATGACTTGGCAACTTCCACAAATAACCACAATTAATAATCTTCAAAGATAAAAGAAGCAGTAACACATATGCCGCTACATTCACGACTGAAATGGCCAGGTACTAATGCAACTAAAGAAGAGTTAGCATTTGACTGGGCTAACTATGCCACAAGGAGGAAAGCTTGTTAGATTTTAGTATAGAACTATTCCTACATATATTTATCAGTTCTTAATAGAGTACATTTTCAAATCCGGGCTTCCGCTCAGATTTGTCATAAATAGGTTAAATCCTCATGCCAGGTTAAGGGCCATGATGTTGAAGCTTGGCTTTGTAATTTTCATAATTTCTTATAAAATCCTAGTGTAAAAACAAGTGTAATTCCCTACTATTTCTATGTTACTGCCTTACATTTCTGAATCACCGTGTAACATGTAGGCCAATGGATCAATTATAAGATGGTGAACAGTCCAATATTAATTCTATATTAATTAAACATTGCACAGATTATTACTGAAGCAGAATTAAGTGAAAAACAATTAATATTGTCATAAACATTAAATGGCTAGAATTAAAAAGAAAAAGTATAAAATACATGGGCTTCATGTATGTGCTATTCAAACATGCAAAGATGAGAGACTGCTATTTGGAACAAAAAGCGCTATTATTATTGCAGTGGTAAATGACAATTTGCAACTAAAATATATGTTTATATAACAAAACATTTGCAAATATGCTCTACAGTGGTGAGAGACAGATGTTAAAACCAAACAGAAGCCACATAGTCTGGCTACTTTAATGTACCAGACAAGATCCTTGTGCATCATGCAAGGTACTTCTGAGGGAATGTATACATTCCAAAGGGACAACCAAATATAAAGAAACTCAAGTTATTTTCAAGGTAAACTTTACACTGGACCAGAACTTGATTTCTGATATCCTAACACCTAGCACTGGATCATTCTGCCCGTCTTAACTAGACCTCAAAGGTAGAAAGAAAAGAAAATGAAAAACAAGACAGTAAAACAAAACAAAAGAGGGTAGAGGATAAAGTGGGTGTAGAGGGGGAAAGAGCAAAGGGAATAAAAACCAGAAGGTAAAGCTACCTTTCATATGTACTAATTAATTGCTACATTTTCATTGGTATCACCTAATAAACAGATAAAAAATGTTGACAAAAATATGCTGTAATAGTTGCAGAACTGTGCACACTAGGTATGAGTTACTCTTACTTTCCACATCAGAAGAAATATTTGTTATTCTCAAGTAATAATACACACTACACTCTCTTTGCTCTTCCTGTAAGACAGAGACTGCTCAAATCAACAAAATCAGTTACCTAGGAATAGCAATGTATTTGATTTTCTTTGAGTTAAGATCAGTTACTTCCAGGTACCCAGCAGCTTGTGGAGGAGTGACATCTGCAAATAAGCAAACATATTATTTTCCTGCTGCATGATTAACTGGTTATTGCATTTGCATTTAGCAGATTAAATTTAAACATTTCATTATACAGTACCTGTCAAGAAATTATAAGCTTTCACGTTCAACACAGGAGTACAACTTGCAAATACAAAATTGTTTTATTATTATGATAGCGAGCAACCAGACAGGCACAATTATAAAAGAATAAGGTATTTCTATAGCAAATGTCAAAATTACACTCAAATATAGCCCTACTCACAAAAGCATTAATCAGGCATTACTGCAATCCCTAACTCACTGCTTTTATCTGTCACTGAAGATAATGTCATATTGAGGAACGTTTCAAAACATTGTGCTTATGATTCCCACTTGAAAATTTCTCAATATATTAACCTACGTGTTGTTTCCTTAAACTGAACCACTCTTTCTGCAGGTAGATCCTCAGTATGCAGAGATTTTATAACTTCATAGTAAATAGCCCATGACTATCAGACATTTAATATTCAGAAATAAATCTGTGTGTTATGTGCCTACACTGGCTTTTGCCAATGTATGAGTAGACTCTTCCTCGGCTGAGAAGTGCCTTCCAGTAAGCAGTTGCATTTCATCTGTCTGGAATAAACTGAGTTTTTCAGAAAGGAAACTAGAAGACCAAATTACATTGCATAGTATGGGTACAAAATATCATTGTCACAAGATGAAAGTAAGCCTAGATTTCCTTCTGGAACAATATCTCTTTCACCTCCTCGAGAGTCTGATGGTACCTGCAGAAGTGTCGATGCTTGCATAAAACACACAGAGAAAGGATCAACAAGTCCAGTGGCATCAAGGGATCTAACATTCAAATGAGCATAACAAATAACCCACAGCAGCACTTTATGCATATCTATTTTATCTACATATCTATAGTATGCCTATCTACAGTAGCACATCTGTTGACTTTACTTATCTTCACAAAAATGGAAATATTGAACACAATAAAAACAGGGGAAAAAAGTCTGGAAAAATGCAGGTTTGTGGGCCACAGAGCACTTTTTGTTTTGCCTAGATTTTGTTACCATTTTAAAAAAATGTGCTCTCTCAGTAATAAAGGAGAATAAGACACACATTAACTTTTCTGATGGAGATCTAGAACATGGAGCTGACACTGAACTGAAGGGGGTAGAACTGTGGGGTAAGAATATAAAATCAGGTTAATAAATTAGGGAGAGAACACTAATCAACCAACTTAAAAGACAAAGGACTGTAGAGTAGGAAGCTGAAGCAAAGGTAATCAAATGTTTAAATGCAACGCAGGAAAAACTGGCCAGGCCCCAGGATTGCAGTCAAGAATCCTATAACGAAACAGGAACATCAGACCCAAACAAGCACAGTTTGTTGCTCTTTTGCTGAAGCCTGAGAAAGAAGAATAGTCATGCGCAGCAATAGATATCAAGCTTTAAGGAAAACATAGATACATGAGATAGTCCTGAGGATGACAGAGAGGTTAGAACAGATGGGCTATAATGACAGATGTAAGGAATTAACATTTTTTTAGTCTAAAAAGAGATTTTTTTTTGAAAAATCACATGTTCCGTAATACCAAAAAGATCCTTATAAAGAGAGCAATGCTATCCTGACTGAGTGGAGGTGACATGAAGTATTCAGTTCTGTTTACAGCAAAAAAGGCTGTGTACTAAGCAAAGCTTTTCTTATACACGGAGAGTGAAGCATTGCAACAGGCCAATTGTTTGACAAACATCAGTTGAGAAGAGTCTAAACATGCGTCATCCTGTCCCTATATAAATAGGTGGACCAGATCATGTGCTGAGGTTATTCCTGTAACTGTGTGTTACACTACATGTTGTTCCAGCTACTGTCACAGTAACAGAGATATACACTCTACACTCAGTAATAGACTGTTATTTTATATTCGTATATAGAATATGCTGAGAATCCAAGTAAATATTTGCTCTCAAGTAGCCCTCATTTCTATAGCCTTGTTTGCAGAATAAACATTAATACTTATTTGCTGGATTGTGCCATAGTCTCTTGTCTGAGTTTATATTTTGTGGCCATACATTTATTTGGCAGTCTTTGGGGAAATTACTACTCATTACAGTTTCTTTCCAAACATAACTATTATCCTAGTTTACAGTTCCAATAAAACATAAAGGAAATTATTTCTTTGTTTGTTGTTCCTCAAACAGTTTCAGTAATACGTACTGGAGCATGCTAGAGTCTGGCTGAGTACTTTGAATTATTAATCAGAATGGAAGGCTGTGTGCCAGAACTGACCAGTTGCCCAGAAGATGAGAAAGCAAGCCTGACAGATACACAAACCAAAGTGAAATTATAAAACAGCTTCTCAAAGACCACACAAGACATTAGTGAAAGACCTTCAAGGGATTGCCACAGAGTCAATTTTAAATAATAGGATGCCTTTGCTTCACTACACCTTCTCCTAGGAAAGAACACAAAGACTTATGAATGAAGCCTTGTACAACTTCCATCAGTAAGTAAAATTCCAGGTTTCCACTGCAGAAACAACGGCACAGGTGATTCACCCAGTGTCCAAAGGCCCCTATGAAGTATGTCGCACTGTTAGGAATAAGCAATACTGAATCTCCAAGGGACCAACACTGTTAAGCAGCCAGTAGCAGCTAAACGTGCATTCAGTTAAATATTCTGTCAACTAGCGAGACTGAGAGGCAGACTCCAGAAGAAACAATAGCCCGGCAGAGAGAGTTGCAAATACAAGATCTCAAATGGGCACAGTAAGGACTAGCACCTTATTAAAGTCTCACCTACCAAGTGAGTGCATGAAGGCACGTCTCTTTTCTCCTGCCTTCCCTTTTCACTTGGAAAGACTTTAAATTCGTGCCATAACAACGGCAATGCTAGGTCCCTCTAATCTAATATCATGACTCCAGGAGTAGTTAGATGCTTGAAAAGTGCAAGAACGGACAAGAACACATGATATTTTCCTTAAGTCCCAAAGCAGTTCCAATCTAGGGGCTTCTTAAGCTGAATGTGGTGCCTCTGTTTTTATGTCTATGTATTTAGTAACTTTCCATGAGTTTGTCCAGTTTTCCTTTGGATCCATGTTTGGGCATTCACAGCATCCTTTGGGAAGCAGTTTCACAGGTTGTTTCCCCACTTTGTGAAGAATCAGTTCTCGTCTGTTTTGAGGAAGTTCCTACTAGTTTCATCCACTGACCCCTAAATCCATTACTGAGTTTATAATTGCTGGTTTTTTCACATCTCTATGCCAAACATGTTCTTGTGGAACTCCACCACATGGTCCTTTCCGAATCTTGCTCCACACACAGGAAATTTGGCCAAGGTAATCTCGGTTATCTCTGTGGCCTTGTCATGAATTTATCCCAGTTCATCCCTCTCTCACCTCGAGATGGAGGACCAAAGCCACACAGTGTTAAGGACACATGGATTTACCCAACAGCATAAAGATGTTCTCGGTTTTTTCTCTTTCTTCCCTAGGAATTCTTAACATTTAATTTGCTTTTTTTTTGACTGCCACTAAGCTTTGACTTGATATTTTAATGAAACTATCATCATAACACCAAAGTCGTGCTCCTGAGAGTTACTGACCAGTCCCATAATTTCAGATGTGGAATTAGGAATCTTTCTTTCTTCCTTCAGGTATACTATATTCATCTATACTGAATTTCATCTGCCATTTCTATTGCGGTCAGCATTGTAGTCCTTCTGTAATCCTTCATGGAGAAGCCTTCCTACCATGAATAATAACCAGTATCATCAGGAAACAATGTCCATTCTTTTTCCCATTTTTTTCATGACTGTGCTCCGTAGCACAGGTTTCTGTAGGACTCCGTTCAGAGATTCTCCTCTACTAGAAAAACTGGCCATTAACTGATAAATGGATATGTCTGAAGTCCTGAAAAAAGGCTATGGAATAGAAAAGCTAGAGTTTTGCTCAGGGCTGATTTAACTGAATCAGTAACGTCATATTAAATGCAACTCATTTAAGATCAATTTTGGTAATTCATAAATTAAAACATCATTTAGAAAAAAAAATCAATTATAATGATCTTCAAGAAGGCCTTAAATCTGTCAACTTAGCTAGTCATAAAGCACTGTACAAACTATACTTTATAAAATTTTCTGTAAGTTTAAAGCTATCCATCACTATTCATGAATATATATCTCACCATAACTGAGTAAAAAAAAAGTTAGTATCTTGTTCATCTGTAACAGCAGATATAAATGAAATTGCTCAGTCAGACAGAAATCAATTCTCAGACAGGTAACTTGCTCAGGTCAGTAGTATCCAGGATTCATGAAGAATGTCCCATTTCTTAATTATATTAATATAGCACTATAAAGTGTTATATACCACAGTAACTTAAAACACTTTTAGAAATACCTGTCAGGATCTCAATTTTTTTTGGAAGCACTGTATCCCTCCCTCACTCTCAAACTAATAAACTGATTTTAACAAAAGCTCAGAAGATTTACCTTCCGAATTTTTATATCATCTACTTCAGAGTCAGAATTTTTTTCTACCATGAAGGTCTAAAAAAATGACTCAGTCTGACCCTTCAACAGATTATAAAGTATGAGAAGATTACAGCCTGAAATGGTACAACTACTGTCAAGATAGTCATGTTAATTCTAACTATGTTTTATTAAGTTTGATTCTTTTAATAGCTAACCTTTTCTTTAGAAATGTAACTTCAGTTTTCTACCCTATTTACATCCTTGACTTTGTTTCTTTAGTCAGGTAATTGGTTTATCCTTCTGGTAATAAATAAAAGGTTTTGCTGACGAGTTAAAAAAACCTGCCATTCCACCATATACAAATATTGTTGGGTTTTTCTCTTTTGATAGTGACCTTTCCCTGGAGATTTCTAGAGCTAATGCAAACGTCACAAATGCTGTTATTTACCACAAACTGGTATCCTTTTATTTATTGGCTGAAGAAGCTTGGCATGGCAGCATAAAAAAGCCCGAAGGTCTGCAGTCTGTACCTGCTTTATTAGTGTACAAGTGGAAGACGGTTTTGCTGTATGTAAATGTTGCTCTTGCAAGATCAAAAAAGCCTCGATTTCTTTAGTTTGAAGAGAAGGCAGATGTGACTGAAGTTTACAAAGTCATGAAGGTGATGGTTAAAGTGAATGCACCCAACCCTGCAATGATAGAATATGGGGCACTTTGTAAACCTGGTAGGAGATCAGTGGATAAGAGAGAACAGTGAACTTGTGATCTTGCTGTGGAAACACACCAGTTCAAAGATGGACCAGACAAACTTGTGAAAAACAGGTCCATGAAAGGAGATCTCAAAACCAAGGCAGGGATATCCCCTGCAACATCCCTAGTGAAACAACTGCAAAAGCTGAGAAATTATGAAGGGAAGGACTCACACACATTCCCAGAACAACCTCTCCTATTGGTCCTGCTGGAGACAGAATACCAAGTTAGACAGACAACAGATTTCAGAGAATCATAGAATCATAGAATGATTTGTGTTGGAAGGGATCTCAAAGATCATCAAGGTTCAACTCCCCTACCAAGGCAGGGACATGTCCCACTAGATCAGGCTGCTCAATGCTCCATCCAGCCCAGCCTTAAACACTTGTGCGCCTGTGATGCGTTGAACAGAGGCAGGAAATGCTGTGGAAGCTGACTGATGAATTGGAATGATCATATTCCTGCAGCTGGTTCCCAGTGTGGACGAGGGAGATCACACCTACTGAGACATTCACAGTGTAAGTAGCCTGTTAATTCCTCAGAAGTATAACTCAACATGTTAATAAAATTAATTTAAAAAACGAGTGCAACTACTCTCCTTTCTCCTCAAACGATTGCTTTGTGATTCTTTAAAAACATTTTGGAATAAACACTTGTGCGCCTGTGTTGTGTTGAACAGAGGCTGGAAATGCTGTGGAAGCTGACTGATGAATTAGAATGACCATATTCCTGCAGCTGGTTCCCAGTGTGGACCGAGGGAGATCACACCTACTGAGACATTCGCAGTGTAAGTAGCCTGTTAATTCCTCTGAAGTATAATTCAACATGTTAATAAAATTAATTTCAAAAACGAGTGCAACTACTCTCCTTTCTCCTCAAACGATTGCTTTGTGATTCTTTAAAAACATTTTGGAAAAAATTCATGAGTGACTGCAGTTTACAAAACAAAAACAAGTGTGTACAGCTGCAGTAAAAGTATATGAACCTCTTACCTTTTGGGTAAATGTCTTTCAGAGGCACATCTCCAGGTGCTAAAATTCTGGCTATTTGATTAGAAGCCAATAAAGTCACACAATTGGTTTGTTTTGCAGCTCCTGTTTTCCTCCGGGCTCCATAATAAAATGAATCAGAAGGAGGAGCACGTTTGTGACTCAGAGAGGAGTTTCTTTTCCAGCTATACACTTCACTAGGAGACTGCAAGAGAGAAGGAGTCTATTGAACAAAACTTTACCATTATTTGGCCTAAGAACAAATGTTTCTTGTTAAATTCCACTTCTTATGTAATTTCAAATAAAATTTATGTACTACGGTTACCTCTCACGTCACCACATGACACGGAAAAGACCTGGATTACTTTGTCATTAAAAACCCCTATAGGAGTGAAAAAAATCAGACCACCTACATACATTTTGGTGAATTGAGATTCTCTGAGATATGAAGTTGAATCAATAATTTTTTTCATGCTGAACCAGGAACAGAAAACACTGAAACAACCTAATCTGGAACCAAACTATGTAACCAACGGTTACTATAATCTAAGTTTCCACTAATGTAGATAAATACAAACAGATATTTCAGCAATGAATTCAAAGGTAGGCATTAAGGCTGGCATTTGGCTCCAGATTCAGAGACATAAACGCAGGTGTCCACAAATGAGCCCGCTGCTTCTTCTCCCCCTACAGTCAGTAGAGTCTAAAGAATAAATCATCTCATCTTGAATAAGTCCTCTACATTTTGGCTGCCGAGCATTGCTACCACGAATAGCAGGTCAGATACCTTGTTCACACTAAACACCTACACCACTGAACACTGAATGTGAAGTTCTGTCCCACCATCCTCACATTCATCCTTAGCATCCCCTCTCTGACTCTCATACAGACAACGAAAACCACGTGTGAGGACAGACAGAGCCTTGGTCTAAATCAGGGAGAGCAAAATGCTTCATCACCAGTGTTGGTATTGGAGCGTGTAGCATCTTTAGTACTCCCTCATTTAGATCACCTCTCTTTTTCAGCAATAAACTCACATTATTATGAATAATATGAAAAGTGAGTATAATCAATTTGGTAATGTAGATCAAAATCAAGTAAAACTCAAAAGGTAACTGCAAAGACAGGGAAAGTCATATTGACAAAAGCATGTTTTTGAATAATTTTGCATTTCAGAGTATTTTCTTCAAACATTTGGCTTTCTCAAAACTTATGTCTATTACCAGTTAAATTTTCTAATTTGTCCGATTTCTTAAGCAAATATGACATAGAATTATTTATTCCAAAGAACCACCCTTTTTATATATCACTAGGTAGTAAATATAAATAAATCCAAAGAACTAAACATACTGTTTTTATTTTCTCCATGTTTATGCCCACTCCTTGCAACAGCCTTTGTCATTACACTGTTAAGTTTCACTTTCCTTTCTGGTCCTTTTCTCATTGTGTCACAGGAATGAGTACAATTACACGCAGTATTTACACTTAATTACATTATTAACTAGCAAAGGAACTCTCTATAGATTTGTTACCATTTTTTGCATCTTTTTTCTTTTTCTTAAATCTAGAGTCTTGCTAGCTGCTGCACACCAAGTAAAACGTTCACATGCAACAGTCCAAAAGGATACCAATACCCCTTTTCTCAGTGGTTACATTTAATTAAAAAACTATAAAAACACGATTTAAAAAATTTTTAAAAATATTATAAAAATAGTGCTCTAGCCAGCACTATTCAGAACTTACCTACAACGAATTTTATCTGTCCTAGACATTATTATTTGTCTATTATATTCCCTTCTTTCCCCATATCATTTGGTAAACAGGTATTTAACTGAATAAATGTATCTACAGAACAGGTATTTAGAGAATAAAGGAGATTATATGACTTCATTGTATAGTAACGCTGAGTATTTACCAAGAGGTCTGGGAAACCGACAACAATAGTAGCATAACTCTGTTCATCCGCAAAAATCCTGTTGGGGGAGCTGATCTTTTGTCCCACAGCTGCACTGAGGTTCTCTGAAGAGAGCTGGTCACTTGAAACTGCATGTGGCACACACAGTTCTGAAGCTAAACAGGGAAATTAAACAAAATGAAAGTCATTAAATCCAGATGTGCAGTAGGAAACTCTATTAACTGTAAGAGTGCTGAGCACTGATCATTGCTGTTACTTTGAGCGCAAAATTACCAAAAAGCAGAATATTTGATTATACTATACTGTAACACAGAAAAGAAGTCAGGAAATAATTTTTGTGAAGTTAAGTATTTAAAATCAGGAAATACTAACTTTGTAGTTGCTTATACCACTTAATTTCGCCCTCTACTGTGCAAATGAGGCAGGAAGCCTATGGAACAGAACAGCGCGTGACCTCATCGAAGATTGTTATAATGCAAATGCACAAAAAGGCAAAATGTAGGTTTGCAAAGGTAAGTCTCAATGTGACATTTCTTGGTAGCTGTCTTGCTGCCTTTACAATTTAAACAACATTGTTTGTAGCACATTTCTGGTAAATAATTATCTAGTTCTCTTTATCTTTAAGCTAAGAAAAAAGAAATTTTATTCTGTGCAACTGCAACAGCGCTTTACCTTGCCTCAAATTATCAACATAGTCAGAATCTTTAGTTCTGCAGCATACGCCGCTTCCGTTTCAATGGGCAGATTATCTCGTTTACCTGGCAGCGGGAGAAAATCTTTCCTCCCTCAGAGGATGAATGGGCTACTGGTTTGGGTCAGGGGCAAACCCACACTGGTCTACCTTTTCTTAGTTCTCCTGTCACAGGTTCTGCCTCAAAGAATGAGAACAAGCTGAAGATACTACATTCTGGGTTTGCTGGATCATTTGGAAAAAAGCAGAGAGGGGATATGATAACTTTTTAGATTTGAAGAAATAAGATAACAAGAGATAAAAATAGCAGAAAAAGCATGCAGCAAGAAACTGTCCACAAATACTTTGAGACTGGAAATTATAATAACATTTCTACCCATCTGAGGAACGACACTCTGTAATGGTTTCTAACTAAGGTAGTAAGAGGAAGGAAACTACTGTGTTCTGATGAAGCTTGATAACTTGGTAGAGTAAACTGTACAAGAGATAAAAAGGATCCTAGATATTTAAGTTGTGGTTAGAGACTGTGGGATCCAATCTGCTGTCATGTGTGTAAGAAAAGTCGTATTTGTTATCTGTCAGTAACATTTGCTTGTATCATGTTTATACTGTGTTAATCTCATTCGTTGTACTTATTCTAGCCACAAGGACCAGGGCAAAACTTTTTTCCTTTTTAACAGATACAAAGTGTTTTCTCTGTTTTTTTCCTCTGTCTCTCTAAGGCACACTGGAGATAGGGCAAAACCCTATCTGTTCGGGAGGGATGCATATGTACTTCCAGTGTTATTAAATCACCTAGACTAAAGGTATTGTGCACTGTGACCAAATGCTCAGCATTTAAAATGTCATCAGATTTGAAGACAGGCAGATCTGATGGGGCAGAATGCCGACCACTGGAGATTTTTGCCTTCTTCTGTAGCTAAGACATGCCTCTACGCCTGGCACCACCTGGGAATTTTACTAAGCAAAGTCCCCCTATCGTTTAAGACATGTGTGATAGCCACAAGGGCCTCCTGCACACTTTTTGCAGAACTTTAGAAACTGTGGCTTCTGGTATGTTTTAATAGTAGGTCTTCTGTATTTTTGTAAGTGTTGGGAAATGTCTTCTAGCTCATCTGAGCGTGTGTAACAGTCCTGCAATGGCACAGAGACTGCACTCATCAACATATTTGGTCCATGACTGAGGGTCTTAAATGCTACAATGAAACAAAGATGCTTTATTCAAACAACCTGAAGTTTGAGCATGGAATTTGCCCTGCTTTGTGAAAAGTTATTATCAACCAAACATGATAAGGAAAGGACAAAAAGAGAATCAGAGAGAAGGTTACCCAGACCTTTAAAGTAAAAGAGCCTTGTTTGTGCAGCTGCAAACACAGAAATGATAAAAAAAAAAAAGAACAAGCCAAGCTCGCATTCAATACCCGTTGTTAAGCCAAATCCCACGTCAGCTGGCTCTTCACTCAATGCATACAGCTGGCAAACCTCACTGTCTTCAGCTTCCATATGGGCACGCTTGGTTAAAAGAAATTTCCTGTAAAGGATACACATTTATAATAATTCCTGATTAAGCTTGTACTCTAAGCAAGGAAACAAGGACTTCTGTCTTATGAAACAGTGAAAACATTCTACATTTATATAAACAAGGTTATCAACACCTTTTGCTAAAACTGAATATGATTTAGTTTACATCTGTGACATAGGAAAGGGTAAGCCAGCAAGCGGCAGACTTGTCTTCTGGTAACTACTTACACGTCGTTATTTGTTGAGCAAAAATTTTGTGCAAAAATAAGACAGCAGAGTAATATTTCTTTCACATGACCATGAAACTAAAGCAAGCAGGCACTAACTCAGGACGATGTGTCTGTATTTCCAAAGCTAGGCTGAACAGCTTTCTCATTTCTAATAAGACCAATACCACCTCAGTAAAATAGTATTAACATGCCTACAATCAAAGCTAGTCCAGATTTTCAAAGGCATGAATTTAGGAAGGCTCATCCTGTTCATTGCCTACTCTAAAAGCTTACCTGCACTTTCACCAGAGCAAATCTGCATCTTAAACACTAACTGTTTAAGTCTATTCAGTCTCACAAACTGAAAAAACAACTCTGAGACCAGGAGTGAAACTCCTGAACATAAACAAGACATAAACAATGAATAATGCCATCAAGAAAACTAGGCTTAACTAACTGATTTGTTTCATTTTCCACTAAGAGCCACCGGTCTTCAGCTGCCAGGAAAAGAGATTTCAGATTGATCGGAAGCGAGATGGTATGAGTTTGACCTTCTAATACATCCAGTACAATAAGGCGGTTTCTGTAAAATTGGAAACCAAGAAAATAATCAGACAGGGTTGTACATGAGTAAATCTCTTATAAATCAATATAATACAAGGATATAATTTACTCTCACCCTGCTTCTTTGTAGAACACCAGCCAGTTTTTGTGTGAAAACTCTCGGCACATTTTGTAGTTGCTCTGTATAGAAACACATCATACAGGAATTAGTGCTTGTCACATTTGTCCCATTGAGTTTCCCTGACTCCTCTGAAAGTGCACTATGTTTTGCTATTATTTCAAATAATCCATGGCATTAATCATCTCTCAAAATGCTATCTAGTCTGTCGTGTCCCAAGTCAAGCAATTGCATCACAACTGAGTTCATTATTTTGGACATAATCCCCTGTAACAAAACGTTCCATTATTCCCACTTCTATCTCCAATGAGGGATATTTTAAAGACACCTATCCTCAGACAAGACAATTTACTTATATTTTTCATTTCACTATTCCATAACAAACCTATTTTATGTGTAAGGCATTTAAACATACATAAGAGTAAATAATTAAGTGCTTGGGCCATAAAACCAGAAAGATAAATGATCCTGAGGCAATTTTTCCAATAAAGAGCTTTATTTAAAAAAAAAGCAGGTGCTATTCCTCACCATCTCTTCTTTGCTGCCCCACCAAGCTGTTCTCTTAGGAGACTCCTGATCATCTAGTGTAAGCAACAGTCGGCGAAGGGTACCATTGTTTGTATCCAGCAACAACACGACGTTGCTCTGTAAATGAAAAGCAGATCCGTGTGCATCTCAAACCCATTTATGCGACTACAATAAAACTATGTGAAGCACTTCTGCAACTCTATCAACTTAGGACAGTTTGAAAAGGTAACCTAGGTTCTGCTGGAAAATGTAGGGTGAATCTTCTCAGCTCCTTTTAATGCTCATGGAGAAATTCAAAGGGACCTAGAGGAAAGTAATGGAGGGACAAGGGGCAATGGTTTTAAACTAGAGCAGGGTAGACGCAGACTAGATATCAGGAAGAAGTTCTATACAATGGTGTGGCAAAATACTGAAACAGGTCGCCCAGAGAGGTGGTGGAGGCTCCATCCCTGGAGGCATTCAAGGTCAGGCTTGATGAGGCTCTGAGCAATCTCATCTAGTGAAAGATGTCCCTGCTCACTGCAGGGGGGTTGGACTAGATGGCCTTAAAGGTCCCTTCCCGTCCAACACATTCTATGATTCTAAGAAATTCAACTGCAGAGGTTAACTACGTGGAAAAAAGGGCTGGGATGATATTCTGGTTTTTTGATAATGTTTTATCTGTACATCTCACATTCACATCTGTATAAACCCTAGGAACTAGACTAGTCTGGCTTACATGTTCGAGCTGTAGTCAGTCACAAGAGAGAGACATATCAGTTTTGTTCCGTCAAGTCACTAAAACATTTCATTTTTTATGTTTTCTTAGCATTCTTCTAAAGTACCCATTATTTAAATTATACTGAAGGTGAAAAACCAGTGAGAGGAGAAATGACTTAGTACTTTCCAAGTTCATGCTTCGGATACTGTGGAGCCTATTAAATATCCCAGTGCATGAAAATCCTTCTGTGAGTGTATGCTCAGACAACTTACAGTGTCAAAGCTGTTGGAGGACGGAGGGATGACTCGAGAGGATGGAGATCAGAAGTAGAAAGGATCCTGAATGCAACGGTGCAAGTGTCCTCCACATACCTTATGTGGAAATACGGCACGCTAAATTTTGAACTTCTTTAGGTTTCTCTGTTTGTTACTCTGTGCCCCAGGGTTAACTCATGCTGTCGAATGATGGGGCTGTTTTAAATGCCTCTTTTTACAAAGTACTATAGCTGCTCCTAATGTGTTTAACTAAGAATTCAAGAGAACAGTCATTCGGGGCTGACCTTAACTGCATCAAATGAAATTTAAAAGGTACAAAAGAACAAGTTAATTAAGCCTTGGGTTGAATTTTTTGTTTGCGATTCAAGGAAACATTAGGTTCTGCAAGAACATTAGGTTCTGTAAGGACTTACTAAAAGTAAACTGTCTACGTACGACATCTGCAATAACGCACGATAGATGTTAAGGGAGTAAAATATAAATTCCCACAAATTCTCCCAAATAAAACAAATGCAAACTATCTGAGTCACAGTGGTGTTGTTCTTTTTGGGTACTTTCACTAGGATTATTTGGGAGAAATAACTTTAATAATGACAGTAATTTGAAGCTAAATATGGTAAAGCATTTAAAATATTACCATGTTATTTGGCGCATTTGGGAATTTCAGCTAGAGTTCAATACTTCTAAAAAAAGAAGTTTGCTTATGTATTACAAACCAAAATTATAGAAATGTAGCTAAGGAAAAGAAGTAGGGCATTTGCTTTGGATTTTGGTTTTCTGCCATATTTTATTTATACAATTCTGCAACAGCACCACTCTACCGAAGCAATGCATTAGCCTTCCACGCGAGATAAAGAACACATACGAATCAACTACATTCTTGCACTTTGCGTTAAACTTAGGAGAGCAGTTGGTAACATAAAAAGCCTCTCTACTCCACCCCTTTTGATGTTAATGGTTTCCTTCTGTGCTAAGTGACTGATGTATATTCTGTCTGTGTTTAAGAATAGATTTTTGCGTCACTTGCAAACACATCCAAGAGCAGCTTTGGCAACTCTTCAAGTGGGCTGGGAAAAGATGTTAGTGTGCAATTCCGCCCTGTTTGTTCTTGAGTGGGAGAAAAGTAACCTTTGGGCGACCTCCCGACCCCAATGTCTGGAATTCCAAACTCTGGACAGATGCAATAACCAATCTTGTGAAGTGGTGTGCCTTTATTTTTAGTTACTGCAAAGTTTCCCTTTCCTTACTGCTGTTGTTATTTTAGCCAGCATTTTCCTTTTAAAAGTCCTTAAACCAAACAGGGCTGTGATTTCACTTTGCTGGTATGGGAAGTTGTTCCTTATGGTCTCGTAGATGGAAAGAAGCGCTAGGAGGAGGAATACACTCCAATTTCAAAGCGGGGCAGTACAAATAATTCAGTTTAACCCTCTTGTATTCTTCTCCCCAAACTCAGTTTCGTTCTCTTCTGCCCTCAATGCTCACAGTCTGAGCGAGCAGGCTTGCAAAGACAGACTCTTCTCAGCTGTTAGCTTCAGATGAGGCTTATTCTTAGCTTGGCAGGGTAATCCCTCTGTATCTTTCCTTGCCTTCTGTCCCACGTGCATCCTATCAGTGCTACTCAAGGACCCCTTGAGTGACGCACACTTAACAATCCTGACGCTGTAAATTTTAGGCACAGATACAGATATATTGCTCATTAGGTTCAAGTGAAAAAACATGTGCAGTAATTCATAGTTTGGGGCTCAATCCTCCATGCTTTCAGAGGTAGAGAAATGTAGGCATGTAGCTAACTGGTCTTCTAATTAATGCAAGTGGTGGCTTTCAGATGATTTGGAAGACTTGACTATATTAGAGATTTCAGTGAACTGAGAAAATCAAGTAAAGATATAAGCTTTGTGCTTAAAGAAAACAAAAGTCCACCTTTTCTATGGAAGACACACACCTCTCCATTTAAGCACACCACTGATTTTCTGTAAGGTGTGCTTATAGAAAAGGAAAGTCTTATAAAATATCCAAAAAAAAGAAGAGAATTCAGGAACTCCAACTAGTTTTTGAAAACAAAAAAATCCTTCCTCCTGAAAACGTTTATCAGAATATTGTTAGGACTAGACACTTCAGACCTTACTTCTAGTACATTGCAGGTTCTTCCATTTGCAGGTCCCTACTTGTGTTCCAGGCTAGTTCACAAACTGTTAAAAAAGCCTTCTTTAAAGGATGTTTGCCATCTCCTATCCGTAGTGCGCGAGGCGGATCTCTGTGTCAGCTTCTGTGTCACAGACTCCCTCACTCCCTCACTATCTGAGAGCTTTGACAAAGAGCTCCAGCAGCACGTAAGACAGGGAAAAGCACTTCCCTCCCTCCCTTCCTGACCCAGAAAGATAAAAGCGGAGTTAAAGGATGTTCTCTGAGGTAGACTGTAGGTTACTCTGTCTGCTCAGTCGTAGCCTTTCAACACAGCAAAGTAAGAAAAAACAGAAGTCTGCAGTTGATTTATATGCAAATCAATTCTTCATGTGCATTTCCCTCCTATAATCCCCTATCAAATCACGCATAAAGTTACCAATTCTCTTCAGACTCTATTTGCTCTCCTTCTGAGTGGTAAAAGTGATAGGTGCAGAAAGAAAAAAAGTGAAACAGGTGGGCATGAAGCTTTATAGGAAATAGGAGTCTGCCCTGAAGTCCTCGTAAGGTACTGCTGCTCTGACAAGATGAACACAACTCCCGTCTCACGAGGAAATGACTCTTCAGATTTCTGAAGAGTCTTTTCAAAATATATCAGCTTAGTCTGAACAAACAGATAAAGTCAAAACAGGCTGTGCTCACCATGACCAATGGCCACCACGAGGAATAGAATCATCTACTCTTTCTTCCAAGAAGATGTAAAGGTGGCTTAAAAGCAGATAAATCTCTGATTTGTGCTATTAAGTTAAATCCCTGGGGAGTTTAGTTTTAGTAAAATTTTATTTAAAAGGACAGGAAGGAATGGTGATTTTTCATTTTGTTTCACTGCAGGCCTCTATTGAATCCAGATGGATGTTGTCTGGGAAACAAATCACACAAGCTTATTTGAAGAACCACAATACCATCATCTCATCTTTTCCAACAAGTTTATCATTCATTTAAAATAGTTCTATTTTATAACTTAGTCAGAAACATTCATCTCTAAAGACCTTTATTAAAATAAAAAAATGGGAAAAATCTTCAGCTTTTTGTACTAATTGATGGTTTATATTATTTATGCAGTATCATCTGTCAGTGGACTTTTTCATTCAATAAATGCAACTGCTTACTTCTACAAATATTGCTAAAATTTCTTGGTCTTTTTGCAAGTACACATAGATGGACCTCTAAGGCATCACATACATAATTTACATAACTTGTTTTTTCATGAAGATCTGTTTGATGCACTCTTTGCACAAGTAGCTAACCCTTGGAGCCTTGCCCAAAACACAGATGTGCCACTAACCCACTTGTCTTAACACACGAATGCTGCAAATTCTGAGCTTGCGGCTGCCAGTGATGTTAGTACACCTGAAGGCAGGCTCCTTGACTATATGTCAAAGCTCCTTCTGCAGCCAGTGGAAAGAGAAAGTTGGCATCTCCAGCGGGCAATTCATAGAATCATTGAATTGTCAGGGTTGGAAGGGATCTCAAAGATCACCTAGTTCCAAACACCTGCCATGGGCAAGGGCACCTCTCACTAGACGAGGTTGCTCAAAGCTCCATCCAGCCTGGCCTTAAAAACTTCAAGGGATGAAGCATCCACAACTTCTCTGGGCAACCTCTTCCAGTGTCTCACCACCCTCATGGTGAAGAAATTCTTCCTAACGCCCAATCTGACGTTATTCACCACACTCTGCCTTAGCTGGGAGGAAATGCTCTTACATATCATCTTTATCCTCCGAACAGATACAGAAGGTACTTGAACAATTAGCTCGGACTATATGCTTACCTACTAACATCAATAATCACGGATTTCATTTCATATACAGCAATATACCCCCTGTTTCACAGCTGCACAAAGAAAGCACATGAGTTTTCCATGGCTCCACTGAAGGCAGAGTTGGGAATAAATGTGGAAAAAATTAAACTACTTGGCAATCCCTCTTTTGATCCAGTGGGGACTAGAAATTAAGAGATCCAACACCTTACTTCTAATGTAAGGAAGGATAGCGGTGGTTGTGAAGACTACAGCAGGAGCATTTGTCTGACCTGTGCTCTAGTACTTCGTTTAAAAACCAATCCCAAATATATGGGGAGCATGGATATGAACATGCAATACACAAGAGAATACTGCCTCATATTTTTTTCTGTGCAACATGCTTACTTAAGAAGTCTAAAATTATTTTTGAATTGTGTCCTAAGTGCAGAACGTCTTTTTACAACAAAGTTGGTAGTTTAATGAAACATATTTTCACACTCAACGAGTAAATTCTGTCCTAACACTATATAAAAAGTCCTACGAAAATGCAAAGCATTCAGAATATTGTAATTCCATATTATTTTCCAGCAGTATAAAACAGGCTTATTTTCAGAGAGGATTTGTTCACCTGTAGCACTTCTTAAGAAAGGCAAGACTGAAACTGGCAATATTTAAGCTTTGCCAGAGAAAAACATGAAGATACAGCTCAAATGTGGTCATCTGGATAGGGGCACTGAGCTATCATAGTGTCTTCACAGAATAAACTTTATTTCAGAGTTTAATTCATCCCACAACTGAAAAATATATTCCGTGAGGACAGGCAAAACTAGTCACAGAGTTAACTACCTAAAACTTCACAGATGAATCTCTGATAAAACTTCATTGCTGACACCAAATGCTACTGTGATCTGGTTAAAAACAAAGCTAGCAGGAAAATTATTTTCACAGTAGGAATTTCAGAGACTTGGAAAGCAAAGAATATTGCTGAGCTTTATATCAAAAAACATGAGACATTCTAAACATTCTTAGACATGAGATAGACTTCTATTTGTTTTACAGTTTCCTGCTCTGACTTTGTCAAAAAAGGACAAGAATTGTTTAGAAGTAAACAGATGTGTTATGTGCATCTCAAAATAGCCCAATTGTTACTTATCTAGCTGTTAAAGACAACCACACAAGCAATCACCTCAAGTAGGTAACTTCAGAATCATATTTTTTGCATTTAGCACTGGAAAGTGTTCGAGGCAAAGCAGAAGAAGGCATGGGCATCTCTACTGAAGGCAGAATAATTGTGTTTCCAGTAAGGCATCAAGCTTAACTGTAGTGTTTGACACCAGAAAGTGGTGTCAAAATCTGACAAACATTCCTGGAATAACAGTATCGCAGAGACTCTAGTTATGAAATCACTAAAAACTACTTAATATCTCAACTCAGTGTAGGAAAGGTTCATCTAGATTGGAATCTCTCACCTACTGAAAAACAGGCAGAAGGAATTGGGAACAACAAAAGGAAAAGGAAAAACCAACCATCAATAATTACCAGATTAGATGCCCACATCAAACCACTATGACTGTTAAGTAAATTAGAAACTATTACTAATATTAGAAAATAAGCAATTATTAGCAGCATTGATTCAATGGTTTTCTCTTCCTACTTCTGGGCAAGGAAGTTTTGAACTGGAAATGTTCCAATCAGTTCACTGATAGTAATGGAAAGTATGTGGAAAGCACGCAATACTTCACTTTCAAAAGGGAATTTGAGTCAAACCAACGCTGAAGTCATCAGCACTTCTAAATTTGCACTGCTGATACACTAGATGTCAAGCTTTACATAGACTTCTTTCTAGTTTCGGTACATCAGATACTACAGAATGAGAAGTAACGATTCACAAACATCAAAAATAGTGGCATGAGGCAAATACAATCAACATTTTACTTTATGACTCAGAAAATGTCTCTTTCCTACACTATTTGAAATGTAAAATGGGGACAAGATTAGAACAGAACTTAAGTTCACAGCATAAAACAGCTTTCATTGACCTTGCAAACACATGCTGCTCGAATGAGACTCCTGAATTCAACTTACTATGTCCCTTTCTTCCACGAAGGCCAGTCTCCCTTTCTCCCCAAAAGACCTATCTCTCTCAATCAGTAAGAACAATAAGATAAGCACGTAGAACTCAGCTTCAAGAATGCAAAGGAATATTTCCCATCTAAAAAGTGCAAGAGTAAAATCTCCACATATAAACTAAAGTTGAAGGCAACTCCCAAGCTCCAAGTACAGTAAAAAAGAAACCACTGAGAAGAGAGTAGGCTTCAGAGAACCACAGAATCGCCAGAGTTGAAAGGGACCTCTACAGATCATCTAGCCCAGCCCCCCGCTAAAGCAGAATTGCCTAGAGCACATCACACAGGATTGTATCCAGGAGGGTTTTGAAAGTCTCCAAAGACAGAGACTCCACAACCTCCCTGGGCAGCTTGTCCCAGTGCTCTGTCACCCTCACAGTAAAGAAGTTCTTCCTCAAATTTAGATGAAACTTCCTGTGTTCTAGCTTGTACCCACTGCCCCTTGTCCTGTGACTGGGAACTACTGAAAAGAGTCCGCTTCATCCTCCGTGCACCCACCCTTTAGATATTTATAGACATTGATAAGGTCTCCTCTCTGCCCTCTCCAGGCTAAACAGTCCCAGCTCTCCCAACCTTTCCTCGTAAGAGGGATGTTCCAGTCCCTCAGTCATTTTTGTTGCCCTATGCAAGACTGTCTCCAGGAGTTCCCTGTCTCTCTTGACCTGGGGAGCCCAGAACTGGGCACAGTATTTCTGCCTCACCTGGGCAGATGAGAGGAGGAGGATGACTTCCCTTGATCTACATGCTGGACTCTTCTTAATGCAGCCCAGGATATCACTGGCTTTCTTGACCACAAGGACACACTGCTGCCTCTTGGTTAACTTATTGTCTACCAGGACTCCAAGATCCTTCTCCTCAGGGCTGCTTTCCAGCAGGTCTACCCCTTGGCTATTAATATGCACTAATGTGCATGAGGTGTTCATCCCCAGGTGCAGGACTCTACATTTGCCCTTGTTGAACCTCGTTAGGTTCCTCTCTGCTCAACACTCCAGCCTTTCCAGGTCATGCTGCAGGGCAACATAGACCTCTGGTGTGTCAGTCACATCTCCCAGACTTGTATTATCAGTAAACTTGCTCAAGATACAATCTATCCCCTTGTCTAGGTCATTGATGAATATGTTGAATAAGATCAAAACCAGTACTGACCCCTGGGGAACACTGCCGGTTACAGGCCGCCAACTCAACCCCACTCCATTGATCACACCTCTCTGGGCTTTCTTACTCAATCAGCTCTCACCTCACCTCTCTGTCCACTCATTTAACCCATGCTACCTGAGTTTCCTAATGAGGGTGTTATGGGAGACAGTGTCAAAAGCCTTGCTGAAGTCAAGGTAGGTGACATTCACTGCTCCTCCCTCATCCAACCAGCTAGTTACGACATCACACAAGGCTACTGTTCAGACTATTTCAAACTATAGATGCCTCTGTGATCCTAACTTTATGATTCTACTTTGATCATTACTACATATTTAGCTGTATTTTAACTTTTTTTACCTCCTCTTCATGTAGAACCACTTGACCTTTGAGTGGATGTCCCAGCGGTGCTGCAGTCACAAAAGGTTGCCAGACACTTCCAACTGTTCTTGGGAAGAGGTCATAAAGATCCACAAAGTATCCACTCTTACTAGAAACATTCATGAAGTATAAGGAAACAGGATTGCATGTAGTAACATAAAGAACATTTTCAGCTTCCTCTTCTGCAATAAGAAAATAAAATTAATGAAAGGCTAATGAGATGGTGCATTACTGTTCTGGAAATACATATGTCATAAACTTGGCAGATAATATAGCAAAATGAACAGAAAGACTACAACCATCGACACAGCGAAATAAAGAGACATGAACTGAAATAAAGAGATATGAACTGAATGTTAACAGGCAGAATCTTTCCACAACACCCATAACTCTTGAAACAAGTAGCCCAAGGCACATTTGTGTAGACAAGACTGCAGCACTAAGCAGCTGCTAGTTTATATAAAACCTGTCCAGATGTTTTTTTTGCTTATAATCTTGGTTCCCCCTCTTTCTCTATCCCTTTCAATTCACACACTTAATAATTAAACAAGGGATGAATGCAAACTTTGTATGGAACTTCTCACATACAGAACCTTCCTGACTGATTTCAGACAATTCTTGAAATTGATATAAAGCCACTAATTTCTGTTTTGCTGTCATAAAAGCCTGTTAATGTATTTGAAACTAGGGCTACAAGTGGTCTGAAACCTACCACCTCCAAGCATTCCAGTATTAATCATTAGCAATCTGCTTATAACACACAATAAAGTCAGACATGTTTAATGATGAAACCTAAAAATGTTAACTAATATTCCCAATGACACAACTCACTTGGGGATATAATTCGCATAGGTACCTAAGGCAAGGTCAATCCAGTAAAAATGAATTTTAACCAGTATAAGAGAGTATATGAGAGAGGAAAAGTCAAAGAATCTTTTTTATGAAGTAACACAATGTTGAACATACAAACTGAACAGTCTTGCAATTTTGTGGCTGTGTTCTACTTTAATTACATATCCTTCTCTTGGCTTGAGAAAGATGCATATCCTTATAAAGACCACAATGACTCAGTGAAATTACACTCCAACGTGAGTGGCTGATTACTTTTGTATTTCACCTACTGTTGAAAAAAAAAAGTGGAAAGAGATATATTACTGTTCCTATACACCATTCCTGTGCTTGATATCCTCCATTCCCATATCTCAATTCCTAGTATAACTCCTATACTCCATTGCACACACACCTAAAAACACACAGTACCGTAAATGCACTGAAGTGATGTTAGTACATTTGGAATCCCTCATACTGCCCTTTTATATTCTGCCACTGACTATCAGCAGGCACTCATGAAGTCAACAGCCCAGTCCTTCCTCATCTCCGGGACATTTCACGAATTTGTAATATTTGGGATCATTACAAAAGTTAGTTGCTTTTCTTACTGCACCTTTTGTTACTGTGACATCGCAAACAATGTTAATTTCACCCAAAGGCAGTGTCCAAAAAGCGAGTTCTTCTGTGAAACTGAGGGACCTGGCTTCATGTCGTTCCAGCGGAAATCCTTGAATATTTAAGTACACAGGGCCCTAAAACAAATTACAACAAAGAGGGCTTGCTAAAATATTCCACTCACCATTCTTTATGAAAATCTAGAAATCTTCCTCAAGACTTAATACTGTTAACAAAAGGAACAGACTAATTACTAAATAAATAAAAGGGAAAAGGAAATGCTTTTCTGCAAGCTCTCTGAAAGTCTATGCTGTTTTTTTCTATACAGTATAGAAACCCTCTTTAGTGTTTTATTGGTTAGGAATTATTATTGCTCAGTGGCATGAAGGAAGTGTCATGTACTAGTAAAACACAGTCTATACAAGGAAAAAAATGGAGTATTTTTGTTTCAAAGAAGTTCAGTGGTAATTTCTTATTATATAAATTTTAAATCTCACCCCTTTATCACATTAGCAGTTCAGGTTTCTTCTTATTGACTGGAGTGACAATTACTGAAGTTAAGCCAAGATCTCAAAAACAATTTGGAAGCTTTGGCTGCAGGTCAAATGGTACCAAAAGTTCAGATTCAAACTTGGCAGTGCCAAAGACCCATAAGAATTCAGCCGCATGCAAAATAGAAAACAGCTTTCTTTTCAGTCTTTGATCTTATCTAAAAACTGAGATCTGGGGCCTGAAACTGCCCACCTTCAAGCATCCAAAACAGCCACAACGTTCTTTCATATATGATATTTTAAATATCCTTACAAAAACCTCTTTTCAAGAGCTTCTGGACAAATGTACTGATTTTAAAGCAAATCTTACATAGTGCAGGCTGGGCGTATAAAAGCATTCAGTCTTCCAGTCAATATAAAAAACCCAAGGACAGGTAACAAGGACTACCATGCTTTGTACATACTATTTTTCCTGAAGAAATTAATCACATTTTATATTATTTGCATCCCAATACATAAAAACAGTATTACGTGAATTAAAATAATAATAATAATAATAAAGACAAACCTTTACATCTATTTTTTGAGTTTCTGTTGGACACAGCAGTTTCTCTTGTGCATTCCCTGGCTGATTGACTTTCCAGTAGCCCATAAATTTGTGATCTGGTAATGGCAGTCTGTCAAAACAATGCAGGAATAAACAAATTTTTACATTCATTAAAAGCAACTGATATGGAATAAATCTTTTGAACAACTGCATTTTTCCAATAAAACACATCTTAAGATTCTCTTGCAGAAAATGTATCCTTGATAAAATATTTAACTTCTTTTACAGTATAAATGACAAAAATTTTAGCCTTCTGGAATACTAATACAGTCACAACCTAAACAGCATTGTAAAAGTAGCAGCAATTCACATAGTATGGCCTCAAAACGGAAATTTTTCTGATCTGAACTATTTGAGATATGTAATAAAATATATCCAAACTGTCTCTTTACTTTATCCAGATCAAGCAGGATGTGACAGTACCACTTAAACACCTGTCAGTGGCACATTAATTCAGAAACCCAGCAAAATAAGCACAGCAAACAGTGTGGCAAGTTAACCATGAAACAGAAGTTCAACAAATGCTTTTCCATATATTTTGCCACTGCTTACATGAAAAAAGGCAAAGGAAATACAGACATGAGAGTATCTCATTGCCTTCTGGCCAGTACTGCTTACAGAAAGGACAGGGACTTCTTCAAAAGCCTCACTTGCTTGCCTTGGTCTAATTTCTTTATTTCCATACCTTTTATTTAGGGAAGAAATATATGGGCCGCAGCAAAGCTCATTTATGTAGGAAAAGAAAATGTTGGCGTATGGCAAAGTAGCTTGACAGCAAAATAAGGACAAGACAATTTTTATTTCTTTCCTCTGAAGTGATTTGCAACCACTGAAAGTAGTCCGACTTTGCGGCGGGCTGAAAGGCACGGACTCAGCTCTTGAGAGAAGCTAAGACAAAGTTTATTAGCAAGAAGCAGTATTTATGGGTTACAAACAGGAGACTAGACTATACAGCCAGGATTGTTATTCGCTCATGTGCTCCTTCAATCACTCTCTTATCACACAGGGAGAACAGACTTTCCCAGGTCTGTTTTGATCATACTCTCCCATTCACTCCCATGCACATCTTGTGTACGAGAAACCTCTTATCTGTCCATTCTCACGAGCAAACTCTCAACATGAGCTATACTTGGCTGATCAGGGTCTCTTTTCATAATTAGCAAGCAAGAGTTCTGTACTTGTTTAGAAAAGAGCTCAAGGACGAAAGTCTTAATTCTGCAACGGAGTGCTGCCGGCACTGCTAGCTGTAAAATGCAGGGTATCCACACGACTTCATTAATTGGCATAGATACTTTCAAGCTAAGGAACTCACCGCTTTCGGTTCCTTTTATTTGGGATCAGTTGCTCCTGAAGAGACCTCCTATCAAAACTACATTCTGTTTTACACGCTGCTGCACTTTATTGTACAAGTTACAGGACTTGGCAAGAGAACAGACGACATTCCTCCTCCCAATTTTTATAAATAACTCCGAAGTCTATTTTAAGGAAGTTCTCTTAGACTGTTAAAAGTCCGTACATGATCTCTTCTGTCCTGTCTGGTGATGCTCGTTCCTACTGTTACCATTATTTCCCCTCTCTCTACCAACCAACCTGGCCCCTCTAGGTATTAGAGGTTTGTTTCCTTTCTTCTTGATACTCTTTTTCAGAATAAGAAGGATTCTCAAATCGAAAAACCTCAGTTGGACTGTAGATGACTCTTGGGTATTTTTACTTTTTTTCCCACTGAAAACCTCAAGCAAAACTCAGGGAGTGAATACTAATATCCTCTAATCTTTGCAATTTAGGCAGGAAAACATTTTTTACTGGTATACTGACACCAAACCTAAAGCAACCTGGAGAATCCAGTACTTGCAGGTGGAGAGTCACTTGGCCTCCATCCCCGTTCTGCATTTGGACCATATGCCGAGGCAGTCAGATAGCCAAAGACACTTTTTGTGAACAACAAATGGTTTGGGTGCTACAGATTGTTGGTGCTCACAGACAAATAACCAGTTGCCAGCAATATGCCACTGGCACATGTAATGAGGAAAGTGCATCTTGTTAACTCCCCCTCTTAGTCAAAGAACCAGTAGAGTCTTCATTGCCTGTTTGTCACTCCATTAAGAATATCAATATTTTTCCTCACTTCAGCTTGCATTTTTCCATTGTTGACATCTAGCTAGTCTAGCCAGCTCCTTCCCAAATCAAGATGAGAAATTAGGCCAGACTAAAAAAAATCCAAGTACAATATATTGTAGATAACAATATTCAACACTATCAGGGGAAAAAAAAACAAAACAAAACATTCAGGAAGCACTATTTCAACACACACACAATTCCTAGATAAATTTATTCATGCAGTCAGAAAATGGGTAAACAGTCAAGTCACTAAACTATTTGTGTCAATTTATACATGAACTGAAATTTTACTTCAGGCTTCCATTTGCGTTTCAAAACGTTTTGCTGGCAAAATGTTGGTTTTGTCTTCAGCCAGAAGAAACTGGAGAATTTTTTGCAATGGTGACTCTGAGTAGTCTAATCTCCAATATGCTTATAATCAGTGATAATTATTTCCCACTAGCTCAATGGAACAACAACTTCCACAACGATTTGGACTTCAGTTTTAATTCCTTACACATTACTCTCATGGATAACATCCTAGAAATCAATGGGTTCACTAATAGTAACAAATACTTATTAAATTTTAAAACAAAACATATGTTAATAACCAGTTCTAACCAAATACCCTGCTTTATATAGCAACAGAATTACAGATTGCATTCCCAAAGAAACGAAACATTTCCACTCTTGTTCAGCTTTCCAGAGATTTGCTTTGCTAATAGTTCCTCTCTTCCCTCAGGAAAACTGATTTCTCCTTTTTCCTAGATTCTTGAGGTTTTGTTCTCTTCCCTGTTTCTGAATGGTTTTGTTTCTCTGAGGCAGCAGACCAAGTCATCATGACCAGCAAAGAGAAGGAAAAGGTAGATCAGAATTTAAAAATAAAACACAAAGCGGAATTCATAACAGAGAATTTTTTGCCAAGATTAGTAAGGATCTTATTCTTCCAGGGCCTGACAATTCTTTTTTACTCCATCTCACTGCTCTCTCATATATATCTGGTGCAAGAAAGCCTAAGAGTATTGAAGAAGCTGGTGGCATGACACTGTCTTATAACCAGCGTACCTCCTGAATGATTTTCAGGGTGCAGAAGGACTGGAAAAACATGCCCATGCTGAAAACATGTATTCATCTTAACAGTCTTCCTCTAGTGAGTATATATAATACACAGTAAAGGGAGAAATTATCTGCTCTCCTCAGGACTTATAAGTAACAACTCAGTTTTGAAAATAAGAGACAGTACTAGTAAAAACTTTCACAAGGGGCTCCTGCTGCAAATTAATTAACCGAATGCCATTTACATAAATGGCAGACAGAGTACTATGGAAATGCCACCACCTGCAAAGATCTGCGAAGTAAAGAGATCTGATGGGTGTAAAAAGTGCAGCAGCCGGGTAAAAACGGTACTGAAACTCCACGGCTCTCTCCACCTGGTGTGTCCAGAGTGCAGTGACAGACCACAGTAATCTCGTAAGAAAGGTAAGTCTTAAAACTGAGTTCTAAGGAATTATTCCAGATCAGTTCGTGATTATGGATCTGTCAAAGCCTGTTGTTTAAGGAAAATTGAGAAATATTTTTTCATGTTTATTTGCTCTTTATTTTACATCCTGGTTTTCTACAAGATCACTGCTGTCCATAAAATGGTTATACAAGCAGGTATTCTGCTTAGAAAAGGTAATTGCACAAGCCCTACAGTTGATGGGGCAATTCTGTAAAAAATTACTATTTAGCCTGATTTTCTTCATGCACAGAGGTCTAAGGGGAAACAATCTGTCAAAAGATAATCCTCTAGTGGCTTCTGCTGCTTGAAAACATTCCAAAGTGACACCTAAACAACACAATTTCTTTTCATTTGTACTTTTTTATTTTAGAAAATAAATTACTCTAGGCTAATTAAAAACATCACAGTGAAACAAACAAAACACCAAGCAACCGTCTTCAAAATGCCAATGGAACCTGCTGTATGAAGTTCTTTATTTAACTTTCTAAGGATGTACTGGAAAATGGCTATAAGTCTCTTAAGACTGAAGTTCTACTTAATGTAAATTCTCTAGAGCGAGCTATCATACTAGTACAGCCGTGGACATGAACTACGACAGGAAACAAAGCTGCTTAATACATGACCTCGTAAACCAGCTCAGTACTGGCAGAGAAAGTATTATTCAAGGACTTCAGGATCAGCCTGTGCCCTATTCCACTTCACTTCTTCAGACTTACGTAAGATGCAGCTTAAAACCAGGAGAATTCCTTACTAACGAGATCTCTATAATTTATTTAAACACTTTTCCATCAAAAAATATAAGCAATAGATATACAGAAGTCTTATGTTAGACAGTCAAGTGCAGGACCCCACCCCCCCCTTCTTTGCCTGCAATGCACAGGAGGGATGAGAGACACGTACACTATGAGACAAGTCCAACAATTAACTACAGATTACCTGAGGGGGAAAAAAAGAAAGAAAAACAGTCTGGGAAACTAAAGCTGTTAAAATTTACACTACATACAAAAAATTCAGTTTATATAAAATGAAAGTTCCAGCTAAAGCAAGGACCTGGAGGTTGATAGTGACAGAATTAAAAAATATGGAATGGCAATTTCATCAAGGATAAATGCCAGAATTGGAGCTTAATGCTGTTTTACCTAGGAATTGCAAGCGGTCTGAAGTGTGCACCAGAACGGCACATTAACATGAGTTCAGACAAATGTGACATAACAGATGTCAATGGGAAAACCAAAGTGTAATTGTACATAAAGAAAGATAATGAGGTAGCACAGGTAATCAATTTTACCCCCTATGCCTTAGCAAAGCATCATAGACAAGCCATCTCCTTTACACAAAATCCTGATAAAAATTATAAACTACCAAACACGTGATATCAGGAGATACAGACAACATCGTGATTTTACAACCTGACAATACCGAACACGTCAGTGCCTTGAAGAATGGTCATCCTATTTGGGAAAAAAAGAAATAAAATCTGAAGGAAACAAAAAGCCCAAGTAAAGCATTACTTTACAGGTCTACTATATGATACTAACTGTAGAAATAAATGACTAAGCATATACAAATTAATTTCTCTTTTGAAGAACTAACAACTGCAAGAATTCTTTTCTAAATGGTCATTAGATACTACCTCATCGTTCCTTCCAAGACTAGGTATATGAATTCCATACCCCCAGCTAAAATTCCCATATGGATCACTGGTACTGTCTGTTAAATTTCCCCTGTAACTTCTGCTGGATACAACCCTCAAAGTTCCTTTTAATGAGACTCTGTGTTGTAGTGTGTTGTTTGTGTGTCTCATGGTTTTGTTCCTCTATTTGCAGCAGTTATGTTTCCGCAGCAATTTAAATAATTCTGATTTATTCAAGTTTTCTTTTAGAGTAAGTAATAGGTGACTGACAGTCTTCTCCAAAACTTATTAAAATAAAATAAAAATTCACAAATTGTTTGATTCAAGACATGCCAGGGGCTATCTGTAAAATCAATTCAGCATTTCAGTGCGATTCTTTTGTCCTAGAATCTCCCGGAAATGCTTCTCTATCTCAAAACTTCTTCATTGTGCAGGATTTGTATTTTTATCATAATAAATGGCATTTATTTTGGTGCAGGTATGACTAATCCTCAGGCAGAACCGGTTTGGACTATTACCTTAGTTTTCACATTATTTAATAGAACCACTGATCAACTTATTATGCTAGCTAGTAAGTCTTAAAAATCTTGCAAATTAAGATGGACACAGAGAAATGAACCTCTGTGGGGTTACGCTGTTTTCACTAGGACACTGTAGAAATCACAGCCAGCAAACCTTCAGATTGCCAACTTGTGAGAGACTACAAGCAGGGAGGGAAACAAGCTTGAAACTGAAAGTGACCTTGGTAAGTCAGAGAACTAACCTGAAAAAAAATACAGTAAGTGTAAGCATGAAGAAAGTTGATTACATATAATGAAGATGGGGTAAGTGCTATGCAGGATCTGCAGGTTCATGTTTAGAAAACTGGACATGGATTGACCGTTGCAACAAATGCAGACATGCTGGGGTTTTTAAAAGGGACTGCTGCGTGAAACGCATCTGTTCTATAATTTCATACTACTCTACTCAGCCCCAGCCCAGTTTCACACACAACTCAAAGATGGATGGGATTCAAGTGGAAAGGGGGAGCACAAAAGAAAAATAAAAACAACTGGAGGCCTTAAAAAAAGGAGGAATATTGAGAGAACTAGATGTGTTTATAGTCTAGAGATGACTTTCTAATGACAAGGACATTTAGAAACGAGACTGACTTGCTTTGGGAGGTCACAGAACTCCATCTCTGAAAGTTTTCAGGCATGAATCATGACAAAAATCACTTATGAATGTTTTAGATTAACTTGCTTCTTTTCTGAAGCAAGTGAGATGGACTAGATGAACATCATTTGCCTACTCTCAGATTCCTGGAAAATCATACAGAGGAGGTTGGTACTCTAGTTCTAAATAGGTAGCAGTTTTGGGAAGTACGTTTTCTGCCATGGCCCAAACACCATACCCAGTTACCTCAATGTGTCCATTGTGGGAGCTTGCAATATGGGCTGGAACAGGCTTGGAGAAACTATCTAGATGGTTTTTTACCCCAAGACAGAATTGACTGTGTCTAAAAGACTCCTGAAAGAATCATAGAATTATAAAATCATAGAATAATTCAGGTTGGAAAAGACCCTTGGGATCATCAAGTCCAACCATTAACCCTACACTACAATTTCACCCCTAAACCATATCACCCAACACCCCATCTAAATGACACTTGAACACATCCAGGGATGGTGACTCAACCACCTCCCTAGGCAGTCTATTCCAGTGTCTGACCACTCTTTCTGTGAAGAATTTCTTCCTAATGTCCAGCCTAAACTTGCCTTGTTGCAACTTGAAACCATTCCCCCTAGTTCTGTCCCTAATTACCTGTGAGAAGAGACCAGCACCAACCTCTCCACAATGTCCTTTCAAGTAATTGTAGAGCATGAGATCCCCCCTCAGCCTCCTCTTCATCAAACTGAACAGACCCAGCTCCCTCAATCTCCTCATAAGGTCTGTTCTCCAGGCCCTTCACCAGCTTTGTTGCCCTCCTCTGCACTCGCTCCAACACCTCGATATCTCTCCTATACTGAGGTGACCAAAACTGAACACAATACTCAAGGTGCGGCCTCACCAATGCTGAATACAGAGGGACAATCACCTCCCTTCTTCTGCTGGTCACAAAATTTCTAATACAAGCCAGGATGCCGTTGTCTGTAAACCACAGCGAGCCACCTGTGGCTTACAAGCTCCCTAGGGCTAAATCTCATGACTGACAGCAAGGCTCTCTTGGATAACCTGAAACGTCAGCTGTGGTGCATGCAAGTGAGATACTGAGATCAAAATTGCTGGATCATCAGCACCAGGAGGTCAGTCTAGTCCCAGTCTTGTAGAGTGGGATCTAAGACAAAGTTGCTTTTATCAACTGTGTGTGAACTGCTCCTGTAGTTTCAACTCCTCTTGGCCTTCAGTGTACAGCATATGTGCTCCTAGCTGCCAGTCATGTGAAGTTTTTGATGAGCATCTTGTGGGGGTCTTGTAAGTCTGCCATCTTTGGTGTAACCTGTCCTATAAATGCTCAGTGATGGATTCAAAATGATCAGGTGACTATCCCTAAGTTAGCATGAACAGAGCTTTCTTCTGTCTTCTCCCTTTCATGCTGAACAGTCTTTCTCTTGCATTTCCTAACTTCTGATCTTCTCATTACTGAGTCCTCTCCAATCCATCCATGTAAATCCACATCTAATAGTTCTAAAAAAATACATAAAATGCAAATTTTTCAAGAACTTTGGCAAGCATTCTAATTCTTTAAAAAGAGAAATTGCCAGGTGACTTTCGGCAAAGAAACTATGGCACGAGTTTCAAGTGTGTACTGTCAATTTGACAGACACTGTAGTTGCTCAAGTACTGGTTCTCCAGGCATGTAATTCTTCTGTCATCAAAAGTAAAAGGTACACCGCAGTCATTATACTACCAATCTTCTTTGAATAGTTTACATAGGATGTCAGATAACAGTGGTGCTCCAGCAGGAGAAGCCTACACATGGACAGCTAATATCAAGACATTATGTCATAAGAATCAGTTCCTCCTTTAGCAAATAGAAAATACATGTATCTCATGGAAAACTTTGTCTTCCATTTATTCAGAGAGTTTTCTTCATGAAAGGGAAATAATTGTTTCTCCATAAATTAATTATGCATTAGAGTTCAAGCTAGAGCAAATTTTCTAATGGTTTTTGAACATGATCTACTTAAGTCTCTTCTCTGTGAATTGTAGAAGAATGTGTTAAATGTGTTTCACAATTCAGTTTAGTCTTTTCAAAAAAACCCTATTTTAATTCTAACTTCTGAAATAGTATATGGTGTAGTATGTCAACCGCCGACATAATTAAAGAATAACAGTGATATACAGAAACACACAAAAGTAAATCTTAGAACTTACATGCACCGTCTTATTCTGCAGAGGTATTTATATAGAGCCTTTTGTATCAAAGACAAAATCCCACTACAACTGAAGACAATTTATTTTTTTGCTATTGATTTAGGTGAGAAGTAACAGGACAGAAATGTGTTGCAATTGAATTAAAAACACAGGAGAAGAAACAAGTATTTCCCTTTATTAATATAGATGTTTATCATACAAGCTATCAATATGTACATGAACATGAGAGATTAGTTATTAGTAGTAAGCAAATACTCTATCATAAAGTAATTTATATAGCTTAATTGGAGGAATATAAATTTGAACCAGAGGAGGTTTGACTTCAAACATTTCATGTTGCTTTAAAATCAGTTAGCAGCAAGACAACACACTATAAAAAACTCATCATGAGAGACCTGTCTTCTTAATATATATCTTATGTTATTCTTACTCCTTGGCCAGCTGTACATTGGTCGGCTTTGCTCCAATAGGTATCCCATGTTTGTGCAAAACGTTGATTAAAATTTCACGCATTTCGTTGTTGTAGGAATCAAAGTCAAACACATTTCGAACAACATTTGCCAGTCCTTCAGTTGGAAATTTCTGTGAAGAAACAAAAGACCCCCAAATTTCTTTTAAAAAATATCTGTTAAGTTACAGTAGTAATACTTTACAGTACTAATACTTCTAAATGAACAGCTCTAAAATACTTCGAAAATGAAGTTATAACACTAGCTTTGCTCAACTTAGACAAGTGCTCAAATAATCTTTTTTTAGTTTTCAGAATAAAGAAGGTACATTGTTTCAAGTCAGAATGAAGTTATTGACACTAAAGCTGAATTAAACAAACAAGCAGAAGACACTTAATTAAATACTCAACTTCATTCATCTTTTAAAGAATTGATTACTCATATAACAAGATGGTGTAATCATGGGCGCATATAATTAATTATAGCCTATATTTTTCAAATTCGGAACAGCTTTCTGCCAACTGTGAGGATCTGACACAAATACATATATCCATATAAATCACCTATACAGTTCATTTAAGAATTCTGATTCTTAACACTGAAGATAGAAAAGCAGAAGATACATTGCTTACTGAAAATTACTTTAGGTCATGGTGATTTTAGTAGAAACAAAAAATGCACTTAAGATTCATAAACATTTCTTTTCTTAGCAAAGAATACTACTTGAAACGCGTTGTGTACATAAAGAAACTCCACAACAAACTCTCATTATTATTTCTAGCAAAGGATGTTTTGCTACTGAACTGGACTGGTAAGTTCAGGCTAGTGTGCTCTCCCAGATTTCAGAACTGCCATTCACATATTCTCACACCTTTTAACCAGTGTGGCCCTGCAAGAAGAAAACACATTTTCCTGTCTCTCATTTCCCATTAAAACCTCAAAGCCATTAAGACTTAAAAGCCTTGACTGAGTAGCCAGCTGAACTCATGGAACAGGAACAAACTGCAAGGCAGGAGGTTTTGTTGTGGTACCTGCAGAAGACACTACAGGCGTGAAAAGCTGGCTCAGTCTTTCTGCAAACTGGTTCCAAAGCGGTCGGCCAGTAACTTTCACTGTCTTTTGATTTACCCTGAAACTCCAGTCGCAAACATGCACCTGTCCTCATTTAAATTAAGGTAGATCCCAATAAACATGGACCTCAATGTATGCAACCATAACTTCAGGCTTAAATGAGCTTATTTTTTAGAGGAACATTTAGGTAATTTAAACAGCATATGTATTGAGCGAAATTTAGCTTTCACTTGCCACTGATAAGAACAGCTGTTTAAGCCAAACATTTGATACAGCTAAATCACACTGACTTTTCACAGAAATATCTGAAAAAATCATCTTACTCTTGTAAAATGGACACGGAGTATCTCAAAGGGAAAGACTTTTAAAATAATATTCATCAAATTACTATATATCCTAGAACTTTACATCTAACTACTTTATTTTACCTTTGTTTGGGCAGAAGATGGAAGTAAGGATCTTTTTATTTTAAACTTCTCACTTTTTTCTGCATATGCCATTCATTTAAATATTAGAGACAAGGACTTGGATGCCCCCAGCTTAGAGTAACACATTTATAGTAATGAAGACACTCCTGTGAAGAAGTATTTTAGGGAGCTGAAGTCGTATTTTTTCCCCATTAGTGAGCAAGGCTAGTCCAAAAAACTTGAAAAACAGACAACACAAGTGTCAGAGAAATTTATCAATTTATTAAAAGTAAAGACATTTCAGTCTTGAAGAAAAACTAAAATAATAGAAACCAGAAAATCTTCATAAATGTTTTGACCTATACCCTTAATCAAGCCTCAGTCTTAGTCAGGAGTTTAGTATTTTCTCAATTTAATAGATATCTAATCTCTGTACTAAAATATCCATGACATACGCAATACTAAAATTAGCTAGCTAATGTGGTAGAATGGAATACCACTGCTAGAAATAGGCTTGTACAAACCTTTTTTTAATGTGTGGAGTACATACCATAGAATGTTTCAGTACTAGTGCTGGTATAAAATCATGTTAAACTATGTCCTGCTTTTGAAATCTGTCCATGAGGAACCTATTAGAAGTTCTGCATTATTACAGCTTAACAAAATACAAGTTATTGTGAGATGACAACATTAGGTTGTCCTCTAGCCTGTGTCATCTTGGTTACAAGGTCCACTCCTTACTGAATGAAACAGGTACTAAAAATAAAATTTCTCCCAACAGCTACTTTACCTAAAGAGTGTATAAACATTTCACTTGTAACATAAATGTAGAAAGTTTGTGACAATGTTTAGGAGTGAAAGTACTAAATTCTATAATGTAAATTGCACCCTTAAGTTATTATTTTAGAAGATTTATCATTATGAATCCTGAATTTTCTGTGTTCTTCCCTTCTCACTGCAAAGCACAACCAACAAACCAGCACCAAGATTTCTTGTTCATTCACAGTCTACTCTTTTACCTGCCCCACAGAAGATACTGCTGAAACCCTGGTCCCCTAAAATGTATACTATTTGTTTTTCACAGGTAGATTCCAAGTATGTCCATGGTTTTCTGAATCATTGCATAACTTCTGACATTGGCACCCTTCTTCTCAATGAATTACTTCAATAGTTCCATGTCTCCTCTACCAGTCAGACATCATACAAAAATTTATTTCCTCAGCTACAACTGATTGCTGCCATCAGTAAAATCTGTCCAGAACAAAAGCCACTTGTCAAAAGGCCCTCTACTTCAGTTATTAAAAAAATAAATGAATCACAACTCTTGTTTCAATCAGAACAAATCCAACCACTTTTTAATAACTGCCGGGACAACTGCTTACTGAAGAAAGGCAGTAACAGTTCACTTGAAGAAAGAAAAAAAAAAGAAAAAAAGAAAAAAGGTTGTTTGTTTGAGTTGAAAATTTAAAACCCCACAATTTGATTTCGATTGATTTTCAAAACCAGGTTACTGGAGAAAATATTGATCTCTCATCCACCTGCCTGGGTCTCATTCATTGATTCTTCCCTCTTACACACCTCTCTGTGTACCATAAGAGTATTTTCACAGCTTAGATTCTTGCCTATTCCTTAAAATAGTGAGCAACATAAGTTTTGCTATTACCAATTTTATACTACATATATATATTTTTTTATTTGATACAGAGTTGTGACAGAATTCAGCTTGGTAAAAAATTCATATTTTTATGGATCTAACTTTCCATGACTACATGTATTGCTGTAGTCTGCTTGCAAACTATCAACAAAATAGTAATTTTCTAGTACAAATACAGAATCAATTAAAATATGCTATACATATTGATGTCTCCTGTACTTCTACTGCTACCATAAAGAAAAAGTGATCAATTATCTGCTATTCTTTCTGTAATGAGTCCAGTTTGTTCATAGCATCATATCATAGAATGGTTTGAGTTGGAAGAGAACTTGAGGATCATCTAGTTCTAAACCACTGCCATGGGCAGCAACACCTCCTACTAGATCAGGTTTCTCAAAGCCCCATCCAGCCTGGCCTTCAACACTTCCAGGGATGAGGCACCCATAGCTTCCCTCGGCAACCTGTTCCAAGGTTTCACCACGCTTCTTTGTAAAAAATTACTTCTTCCTAATGTCTTATCTAAATCTACCCTGCTCTAGTTTAAAACCACTGCCTCTAGTCCTATCATTACACACCCTTATAAACAGTCCCTCCCCAGCCTTCCTGCACACCTCCTTCAGCTACTGATGGCCTCTGTAAGGTCTCCCCAGAGCCTTCTCTTCTCCCGGCTGAACAACCCCAACTCCCTCAGCCTGTCCTCGTAGGAGAGGTGCTCCAGCCCTCTGATCATCTTTGTGGCCTCCTCTGGACTCACTCCAATAGGTCCATTTTGGTTTAGACTTCGACCTTGTGTTCTCACTACCACTCACTTCCCTACATATTACAGCACCACCAGATGCCTGCACATTCCCCATCATAGAATCACGGAATCATAGAATGATTTGGGATGGAAGTGACCTCAAAGATCATCTAGTTCCAACGCCACTGCCATGGCAGAGACATCTCCCACTAGATCAGGTTGCTCAAGGCTCCATCCATCCTGGCCTTGAACACTTCCAGGGATGGAGCATCCACAATTTCCCTGCCATCACCGTCCCCCACGGCTCACCCTGCCTCTACAACATGAACGGATCTCTCCCTGTCTGTTCACCCTGGGCTTCCCTCTCCATCCCCGCTGTCTTTTCACTGGACCCTGCCAGCTCTCCCTGAGCCTCCTCCCTTGTCCTGTCAGCAGAGTGGGAAGCATCATGTCCATGGCTCATCCTGAGTGACAGGCATACTAACTGCTTCCCCAGCACTCGCATCTTTAGTGGACAATTGTCTACCGCCAAGCACAACAGCGGAAGTCTCTCCCTGCCTTTTCATTCCCAGGAACACCAATTTCAATCTGCCCCTCTGTCATATAGCCATCTGGTTTTGATTAAACCAGCAGAAACCTAATTATCTCTGAAAACTGGTAACTGGGATTCACCGCAGTGGGCCGAAAAGGGTAAAAGTTTATTACTGATGTGCGTTTGGCAGCAAGGAGGGAAAGGGATACAAACTGTGATTTGATAAGCCTAGTTTCTTTTTGAGGTTAGGCTGAACAGAAAAAAAAGTACTGTCTTAGCACAAAAGCTTACTGCACAGGCCTAAAAGCCTGATGATTAGTAGACTTCGGGGCCAGAAAGTGCCTTAGACATTTACTGCTTGAAAACTGTTAAACTAGTGCCTACCGTTAGAAAGCAATCTTGGACACATACAAGAAAGAAGGCCCATCAGGAAAATCTCAGCTTTCCCGAACTCGAGTTAGTAAAAAAGTGATTTCCATTTTATCTGAACTAAATGGCTTGCCTGATTAACACCTACCAGGGACATAAGGTGTCACAGCATACACCAGTAGTAACGGGCAGCAAATGGTAACCCAACAGAGCTAGAGCACAGCTTCACTAGAGGGAATGGATTGAAGCTAGAGATGGATCGGTTCAGATTGGACGTTAGGAAGAAGTTCTTCCCCATGAGGATGGTGAGACACTGGCACAGGTTGCCCAGAGAGGTGGTGGAAGCCCCATCCCTGGAAGTTTTTAAGGTCAGGCTGGATGGGGCTCTGAACAGCCTGATCTAGTGGGGGATGTCCCTGCTCATGGCAGGGGGGTTGGAACTAGAGGATCTTTAAGGTCCCTTCCGACCATGACGATTCGATAATTCTATGATTCTCAGCTTGCCTGTAAGCCACTGTTAGCATAAACATTTTTGACATTTGACACAGTCTGGAAATGGCAGGTGAGTGAAAAAAGAAGGCTGTATTCAGGTTACCTGCAATCTAGAACGGCAAGACCCAAATTCCCTGTACAATCTGTGGGGAGGAACAGTTGCAATGATCAAGTTAGGCACCTGTCTATGTTAGGCACCATGTTAGGCACCTTTTCCTATGGCTACAGTTACAGGTCTTCCAACTAGCTTGAAGACAAAGTTAGTATAGAGGTAACTTAGCTGTGAATGTAGTGTCTAAGCTACAATTAAATTGCCACAAATTCCCTACTTGCATAATTTTTATGGGAAGATGCCCTTGTAACTACACTGTAGACACAATCCTATGCGTTGAAGACCACAACTAACCAGAGTGCAGACATTAGCCTAGTATTATTGGGGCTGGACTAGATGATCTTTTGAGGTCCCTTCCAAGCCCAAACATTCTGTGATTCTGTGTGATTATGTTGATGCCATAGTAATCAGAATATTTTTAACTGACTAGCCCTGATGCTCTGATGCACTCTGAGGTAAGAGTAATCAACAGCAATTTTTTCTCCAAAATAGCCAATCCTTTTAAAGAGAAGCAAAAAATTCCAAAATTATGTGAAAGAAATCAACACAATAGTACAAAGAGAGTGAGGCTGTGAAACTGCTGTAAGTGAAATTGTTTAACAACATGACTAACTTCCCTCCTTCCTTCCTAAGGACCAGCAATTTTTATTGACTCATTTCCCTCCTTCCTCTTTTCTTCTCTACCTGAAGACCTAAAAAGCTCCTTACTTTGGAATAACCATTATGTTTATATCCATTGTTTACATTTGGCTGCTCTCAGCCTTTTTATTATTTAAATTGAAAAACAAGCTACAGTAAACAAAATCCTGCATCCTTTCAAACAGACTGGGATCTTGAAAACAAATGTTACTGAAGAAATCAAAGCTCCATGCTGGAGATTTATTTGGATATTTGCCCTTGACTTTGAAAGGGGTGAAAACGTAGCAGATGGGAAACTTCCCCGCTGATCTGTGCCCAATGCCCAGCTTGACTAATCTGGTTAAGTGAAGGAGACAGAAGCAGAGAGTAAGTGGTATTAAGACAATTAGCAACATGGCTCTTCCAATCTTCATTTAGATGCTGTTCACACTCAAATTAAAAACAGAATCGGGTCCTATGTTTCTGCACCAGTTAGTGACTGAATACAGTGGAAATTCAGATTACTTGGAGATAGATGATGAAGGAAAGAAGCTACGAAGGAAGGCAGGAACAGCCATGGAGTATGAAGACACAGATGAGGTCATTTAACAAAACTCCTAAACCACCAACCTTCCAGCAGGACAGCAACTGTTCCTCAAGTCTGTAATTTTTCCCCTTTCATTTCCAACCTAACTCTGTGTTTAGAGATCAGCATGTACATGTTCTATGAGCTTGGAAAACAAACAGCTATCAGCTTGTCATGGATCCTAATACACTACTTTGGTTATATGTTTATTTGGATTAATTTCTCAACTTTTAGGTCTGAATTTTGTTAACCTTTAGTACAAAGTTATAAAGATAGCATTGTTTTTCCTTTGTATTACTGATACCCTATTAACACTAATTTACTTTGTCTCAAGACCTTGTTGCACCTTAGAGACCACAGAGATTTTATTCTGTTTATTGTTTGTTTTCCTCAGGAATCAGGATGACTTGAAGAATCTTAAAAGTAGTCATTTTAAGCTGCAGGATCTAAATGTCTGTGTATGCAGTTGAATGTATGTGAATATGTTCATGAGCACAAAAGCAAAACCATCATGCAACCCTCTTACACTATGCAGTTTTTAAAGACAGGAACAGTAGTTCAAATATTTTGTAAGAAATAATATTCCAATTGTAGCTACATTTATATTTCCACTAATCTTTTTCTAATCTATGAAGAGCTAGTCTATAAATGAGCAAATTACCAACTCTATTATAAACAGAAAAAAATAAAAGCACTGCTATTTCAAAGAGCATTAAGATACTTCATATTTCAAATCCTTCAGACAAAAATTATCCTTCAATTTATAAAGACAGAGGTCAGGCTCTAACGCAATCTCTAAAAAAAACCCCCACATTAAATCAGAATTCACGATTTTACAGTTAAAATGTGTGTAGGAAGCAATCATGGATCCTAAGTACCTGTCTGCTAAGTTGTTATCCATCTAACATTTTCCTTAGAAAAATTCCACCAGTGATTTATTACTATTATGCAGCAGAAACTTGTTTTGCCCCAGGAAATTATTGAAATAAAAGATTTTATTGCAGGATAAAGTGGAGTTGCACTGTCCTGGAAGTATTGTATGCCAAGTATAGAACTTCATAATGAAGAGTTACGAACATTGGATACTGTGTTCACAGGATGAATGTGTTATTTTTCTCACATAGTAGAAAAACAGACCCTCAAGGGTTGTTTTTATATCTATAGATATATATACAGAAAAAAAAAAACTGCTTGTGTGTATCTGCGATCCTTACCCTTGGACTATCTGAATAACTCCGTGTGATGATTCCTTCAAAATACAAAACTCTTCATAAGAATGAAATAAAACTGCATGAACAATAATGTCATATTTTTTCTAAAGCCTTCAAGTATGAGAAAAATTAGTAGTGATAAACTCAAGTTTTCAATGAAATCTTAAGTCCCATACCTGTAAATGTTTTACAATATTCACAACTTCTCTAGTTGAATAGGGATAGTTAATAGTTCCTTGGTCAGCTAAGCTCCTGAGCTCTCCAAAAGCAGCCACCAGTTTCTGAAGAATCGCCTCTGGAACATCAGGACCATATTGCCTAAGCATAGCCAGTTCAGACTCTGGTTTGGGATTATCAACAGCATGGCAACTAAAAATGTCCCCTAAAAAGAAAAAAAGCATCCAGCTTAGTAATTTACACAGAGATAGCATCACAACAGCCCCTCTAAGTTTCATACAGCACCTTAAATGAAAAAGCAATGGCTCAAGAGGATGCGGATTATCTGCTTGCTAAAATAAAGCAAGACAAAAACTGCTCTGAAAAATGTGAAGGACAAACTTGCTATGGAGAACACCAAGGCTCCAGAGACATGAAGGTGTCTCCTGCCGCCTTAATGAAGATGATCACAAGGGAGAAATTAACTTCAGGAAGACACACAAGTCAAATGCAGAAAAAAAGAAAAGAAAGTTTTAGATGAAGAATGGGACCAATTTGCAAACACCTTCAAAACACCACTGGATGTAGGAAAATCTTAACATGCAGGAATAAAATAATGCAAACCCAACTGAGAGGTCTAGAGGAAATACTGGATTTATCTTCTCTCTGCTTGTCTTGAAGTACGGTAAGAATTCTGCCATGGTATTCTTCCGATATATTGACATTATATTGGTCCCAATCGTATACTCTGTAAAACTGAGTTTATTCATAAAGAGACCTTTGACAGTCACACAAAACTTTAAAGAAGCACAACCAGATCCT